AAAAAAAAAAAAAAAAAAAAACCGGCTTTTGCCTCAGGAAAATTAGTTATTGAATTTTTTTAATTCGAAGACGAAGTCAAAAAAAAAAATAAAAAATTGTGCAATTTAGATCCCAAAAATATCTACAACATTTTTTATTTTTATTTTTTTTTGAGATTATTTTAAGTCTAAAACAATTCCTGAAAGTCGCTGCCACACCCAACCGCAGCCGGACCTGCGGCGGCCGTGATCACGGCTGCCCTCCGAGTTTGACCCCGCGGCCGCGGCCGCAGGTGATACATAGCCCGAGGTCGATTGAAGTTCTCCGCAATGGGGTGGGGTGGGTGGTCCAACCCCAAGTCCACATGCCGACGCACACCATTCGCGTTTACCTCCCACAACAAGTCGTCGAAGTCGATTCCGGCATCCAGGATGATGTTGTGCAGAATGCAAACGGATTGGAACTGTTGCGGGAGTGTCCATATTCGTTTTGTGTATGCGGAGGAAAAACCTCCACATCCCCTTCAGCCTTCCGAAAACTCTCTCCACCGCTCCTCTAGCGACCTTCTGCTTGTTGTCAAACGTCTCCTCACCCCGATCCACTCCATGGGAGGATAGCTGCGTGTATCTACACAGACTACACCCCGAACAGCGGCAGCACAGCAGGACCATGAAAAAGATCCCCCTCTTCGGCGCGCGTCCACAGACTGGACAGCTGAATCACTTGGATGTCGTGCCAGCTCCCGGGATAGCCAACGAAAACGCCTGTCACACACAAGTCCAAGCTGACAACCACCTGCACAACCACCGAAAAACGATGCTTTCGGTCAAAGTAGTTCTCGAACTTCTCGGACAGCGCAGTCGCTGGTTTGTCCACGTAGATGTGCATGCAGTCTATGCAGCCATAGCAGTTGGGGAAACCCTTCACCTCAAACGCGCGCAGAACGACCAGCCACTGCAAGGTCCGCAACCCAGAATGCCAAACGGTCTTCTCCCGGTACACCCTCACAAGCGCCCGAGTCACGTCCTCCACTGCAATCAATCCTGATGCGCGACCTATTCCAATTGACGACGTGCTGCTCTCGTACGTCTCCTCGCTCGGCGCTTGCCCAACGATAAAGCGTGTATGCGATGATGTGATCAGGCATCAGAGGTTCCCTGTAGAATTTCACCCTCCGCTGCGGATGAGGGGACAACGCCTCGACTATTCTCCCGGAACACTCTAGGGGACATCTGCAGGTTCTCCTTATAGTAGACCTCTGCCGCATCATCCATCTTCCAGAGATCCTCCCATGCCCCGCCCGTCCTTCTCCTCATCCACCATCTCGGAATCGCCGGCGGGATCGCACCCGATGCCATGGCGCAGCAGAATTGCACAATGGATTCCGAGAACGACATACAATCGGGCGCCTCCATCACTTGTTGCATGAGCTGCCTTTGCCTGCGAATGGACAGTCTCATCTTTAGGCGAGCTGTCGTTCTCTCAATGTGATAACAAATAGCGATGGCCGGCTATGTATCCCCCCCGGCGGCGTACAGGCGCAGCCAAGTCCGTGGCCGCGGCCAGGCCGCGAAGCCCGCAGACGCGTCCGCGCGGACGCGCGTCTTCGCGGACGCGTGGCGGCCGCTGGGGAGGGAGGTTGAGCAATCGGGAAGCGCCACGTGGCGGTGCAACCCCAGCCCCACCCCATCAGGCAAAAAAAAACGAAAAAAAAACAAATTTTTGGTTGGGGGGGTAAGGGCGAAATGGAAGAAAATAGAAAAAAAAAACGCGTTTTTTT